TCAAGTTCATCACAAATACAGGATTTTTTGACATTGATATGGGAACGATCCCACCACTGTTTCCTGTAAGCTGCACGCGTGAAGGGTCACACGCTTCTGATGTTGCTGCAGCCCAAACAGAAAATGCTAGACTCAGAATAAAATGTGTAAAAAATAAATAAATAAATAATTTCCTGAACGAATGGATGCGGCATTTCAACTGAAGTCCATTTCCATGTCCATTGATTTTCAGTACGGAACTGAAGCTGTCAGAAATGTTGTACATGGAAATATGCAGCTCTGATTAATTTGCAAGATAAGTGTCACACCCTAGAACAGAATTTCGTAGCGGCAATAAAACAGAACAGCCTAATGATAAATAGCCAAATAAATAAAGGAACTGCTCCACATTAGATTAATTTTTCTATTTCTAAAAAGTAGGATTAGGCTGATCAATCTTGACATATCAATACTTTTGATACTGATGTATATAAGCAGGACGTGATTTTATAATGATTTCAATGCAACATTAATGCATATGATGATACCACTCAAAAGTTTGGGGTCAGTGTTTTTTTTGTCCAGAAATTAACAATTTTATTCATCAAGGACACATTAAATTGACCAAAATTGACAATAAAGATGTATAATGTTACAAAATATTTCAATTCCAAATAAATGCAGTTCTTTTTAACTTTCTATTCACCAGAGAATCCTGAAAAAAAAAAATGCATCATGGTTTCCACAAATAAATTTTAAGCAGCACAACAGTTTTAAACATTGATAATAATAAGAAATGAGCAGCAAATCATCATATTAGAATGATTTCTGAAGGATCATGTGACACTGAAGACTGGAGGAATGAAGCTGAAAATTCAGCTTTGCCATCACAGGAATAAATTACATTTTAAAACCAATCAAATACAAAACAGTCATATTAAATGGCAATAATATTACTGTTTTTACTGTACTTTTAAGCTTTTGAACTTTTGGTGAGCATAAGAGACTCCTTTCAAAAACATTTCTTCCCCAAACTTTTCAAAGGTAGTATATTTAAAAGTGAAAACTCTGACTTTGAGGTCAACTTGTTGCAAAGGAGTATAATCATCTCTCCTTTCGCTCACCTGAACATCATCACAAATACTGAAAAGATCAAGCAGTCAGTCAGTATTTTTGCCTTGATAGTTGTTACGTACTCGTACGTATTCAAAGTGTTGCAATATGGAGATGTGGGTAGTTTGGTGTTGTTGTTGTTGTTGTTGTTGTGGTGGTGTGTGTGTTTCAGGTGTTCGTTGAATCAATCTTCCACCTGTCAATCTTAATGAAGGATGATGACGTTTCGGTTCACCTCATCCAATCACATCTCACCACTTCATTCAAATGCCCGTGATCACTTCCATGTCAACAGCTGTCTGCTCACTTTGTGATACTTGTTTTGACTCGCTGTCTTTGATAATCTGTGTGTTCTATCGTTGTTCAATCTAGTGGTTAAGTGTTCGGTTGTTATACTGTTCGTCCTTGTCAGTTAACACGGATTGTGTAAGGCTGGGAAGGAGGGAGCAGGTTAGTAGGTCGCGCGATATGTTAGAAACACTAGTTTAGGAGAGTGTCCATCTTGTAAGTTTTGTTATAATATAGTTAGTGTAGTTTTGTTTAGAGCGTCTTGACGCCAAAGACTTTTCTTTTCTATATTTTTTGTTTGGTAGTTAGTTTAGTTGAATTAACCTATAGCTAGTTTGTTCTGTTTTATTGATTTGTTTAATTTGGCATCTCTCGTGCTCGCCTTCCCACCTTGGGTTTTGTTTGTGTACAAAATGTTTATCTTGTTTATTGTTCTCATTCATTGTTTGTATATATTGTAAATATTATTTTCTTCACTCACTCATCATGGCACTGTGGATTAATAAATCCTTTCGAGCTGAGTTTTGAGGTAGGCTTCTTTTTCTTGCTCTGTCCTGTACATTGAGGTACGCACACAATTTTTAAAAAGTGTTATTCCCTCATCGTAAATAGGGACGTAACAATAGTACATGGTAACAGATCAAAATGAAGTGTTATCGCCCATTTCCACTAAGAAATAGATTTTGTTTAGCAAGAACAAAGAGGGAATATTTGTCCAAACTGCCCACTGTAAATCTATAACTGAGAGAGAGAGAGAGGGATAGAGGGCAGAGAGGAGAGAAGGAGGGAGAGAGATTTGTTCATTCTCACTTCTATTCCACAGTTTCCTGACATCATTAAAGTCAGAACGCTCTGTTTAGCTGTGCAAGTCACAGTCGCACCAATCCATGGCCATCTGGAGTGCAGAAAAGCAGAAAAGCAAAGCGTGAAATACTGTAGTGGCGAAGAAATGATAATCTCTGCTTTATTTAAAACTTCAAAGAACGCCTGGGCTTACTGTTATAATCAGGGCTAAATGTAAACTGTGGCATCTTTTTATAAATTATTTTATTCATTATATTTTTTATTTATTTTTTTGTTATGCCTCATACTGGGTTTTAATGAATTTAACAGACACACAAACTAGTACTTTTCCATCCTTCCATGTAAATGAGGTTTTATTATACGGCCTGCCAGTATTAGGACAGACACATCTACTGATTTATTTAGTACCAAGGGATAATTCAATGTTTATGCTTCTGTTTATTCCTACTTTAGTCTGTCATTTTGTGTTTGGCACCATACTGAAGGGAGGGGTTGTGTCGGGCACTTTAATCATTTTGTTTCTATTATCACTGTGAAAAAAATAGAAAATATTTTTTTTTGGCATCATCATAAGTTACAGTTTTAAATGCAGGTGATTGGTGACTAATGCTAGATATTTTAGTCTGAAATCTGAGTGCAAATATTGGCACAAAACCCAGAAACATGAAAGTTTAATTTGACTGCTGATACAATAGGTTAACATCCACTATTGCCAGAATCTTAACAGTTCAACAGTCTCAGCAGAGAGGTGAAAGACAAACTATTCTTCCATTTAAAACACATATATCTCATGCAGCTGCTGATAACAGAAGACTCATTTAATTGGAGCCCTGAAGCCAGTTTATCAAGCCCTCCTATCTGATAAAATGACCTCTTAGTGATGTAGTTTGTGACATGCTCACTATCATTTGAGTTTGAGAGAGGAGGCAAACCAGGAAAATCTCTCCTAGCTGAACTGTTTAGGATTAACCAGTAAAGGCAGGGCAAGATAACTTTCTTTGGTGTCTGATACCATCTGTAATTCCAGGCCACTTCACAAGAAGAGTGGCTAGGCAATATATTACGAACTTATCTATTCAGACATATTCCAGTTCGCGTCAGGTCAGAAAGGGCACTGCAAAATGAGTCCAATCTCATCTCGGTGCCTGACGCATCGCAGCACTCATTCAGTGTCAGACTAACAGGCCTTGACAGTCCTCAGAAAATCCCTGCGAAACACTACTCACTAGTACTTTTATGACTTCTTGATGTGAACTGGAAACATGTTACCATGCTTTCATAATTTATTTACACTACCATTTTTTGGGGGCAGCAAGAAATTAATACTTTTTATTCAGCAAGGATGCATTAAACTGATCAAAAGTGACAGTAATCTATCTATCCATCCATCCATCCATCCATCCATCCATCCTATAACTATTTATAATATAATTAAATACTGTGCATCATTCATAATCAAACTGTATTTGTTAATTTATTCCAAATTTTGTTTAATTATATGCATTTAGAATACAATGCTTGCATGAAATTAGCTTATTAAATCGAGACAAAAGATACAACAGATAATTTTGGAAATTATATTGTGGTGGAAATATTTATGACCGAATTTCCCAGAGGTGCAGGTATGTCCACAGGGCCAATACACCCTATGGTCTCTTTGAATACCATAACTAACAAAAAAAAAAAACTAGCTTAATTAAAAATGGCATAATACTGTGTTTTCAATGATTTCTCTATATGTGTTAACTGAATGAATCTGCACTCGAGGCCATTGTCTAGGCTCAGTAACTAACTTCCACTGTTCAGGGACCACAGCTACAATTAGCACTTTCAAAGAAAAAAATAGTCAATAGATTTGTCTAAAAATCTGCAAAAGATATTGATGACCACCAAGAAAAATAAGTGTGGTCAGTCAGACGGCCCCTTCCAGTCTAAATGCCCTTGTGAAAAAGAAGTGTGCTTAATTGTATTGAAAGCGTACTTTTTGTGTGCTTAAACTAATAAAAATATACTTTTTGAAAAGTGTACTTGCAGATAATATAATATAATTAAAATTAAAGACCACTTAAGTGTACTTAAAGGGAATACACTTTAATGACAATATTTATTAACTCACTTAAGTGCACTTTTTACAAATGCACTTTGTAATAATATCTAATTAAGTTTAACTTAAAGTAAGTACACTTTCATCACAATATTTATAAACACAGTTAAGTGCACTTTTAAAAATGCACTTTGTAATAATATGTAATTAATTTTAACTTAAAGTAAGTACACTTTCATGACAATATTTCTAAACACACTTAAATGTACTTTTTAAAAATGCACTTTGTAATAATGTCTAATTAAGTTTTACTTAAAGAAAGTACACTTTCATGATCATATTTATAAACACACTTAAGTGCACTTTTTACAAATGCACTTTGTAATAATATCTAATTAAGCTTAACTTAAACAAAGTACACTTTCATCACAATATTTCTAAACACACTTAAGTGCATGTTTTAAAACAATCACTTTTTAATTGTGTCTACTTAAGTTTTACTTAAACATACATTTTAAATAATTATGATTTTATATTGTTTTAAATTTATTAAAGTTACAAGTTATTAAATGAAATTAATTTTGATGTATTGACTAATATACTAAATAAAATAATATAAAACATGGAAAGTAATTCACTTTAATTTCAACTCAAGTGTGTTGTCCAAAAATAATTTGTTCATGTATTTTAAATGTGTTTAGTCTATAATATATACTGTGTGCATTAATATTGAACAAAAATATTGACTTTTAGTTAGGTGAAAGAGTAAAGTTTTGTTAACTTACAGAGTCTAACAACACAATGAGTTAGAACAAATTCAACTTAAACAGAAAAGCTGAAGTAAAAATATACTCGATACGAACATGGTGTTTAATGCGCATGCGCCAGAAATACTACGTCATGATGACGCACTACTTCACTAGAGTTTGAAAAATGCGCTGTTATGTTTCTGTAATGGCGGTGCATGAGGAAACGTCTCAGGTTACGACTGTAACCGTAGTTCCCTGAGAAAGGGAACGAGACGATGCGTCACTTGACGCTTTGGGAACGCCCCCAGCGTGCATGCGTCTGAGCATCAATGTCAACTAGTCCAATGGAAAGAATGAGCGTCACGGGCGGGTGACGTCATGACCAGGAAGGGATAAAGGCTCACCCGGTGAAACGCGGCATTAGCTTCAAAAAGTCGAAGCAAGCCGATCACAGGGAAGCAGGAAGTATGGCAGGGTGACGCATCGTCTCGTTCCCTTTCTCAGGGAACTACGGTTACAGTCGTAACCTGAGACGTTCCCTTTCGAGGGAACTCTCGATGCGTCACTTGACGCTTTGGGAACGAGAATACCCAAAACGCCAGAATTCCAAGTACCTGAGTGTCAGTCTGTTGAAACTAAGCACTAAGCACCTGAGAACCTGGGGCAGCATCCAGGTCTAAGCTGTAAAACCTAACGAATGTGAGCGGTGAGGACCAGCCTGCCGCATCACAAATAGTAAGGCTTTAGAGGCCGCCATACCCCTCGTAGAATGAGCTCTGACCGCCAAAGGACACGGCAGGTCAGAGTACTCGTATGCAAGTGAAATAGCCTCAACTATCCACTTACTAACCGTCTGTTTAGAAGCAGGAAGACCCTTCTTAGGTGATCCAAAGCAAATAAATAACTGGTCGGACTTCCTCATTGACGATGTCCGATGAACATAAGTATCCAGTGCTCGCACTGGACACAAGAGGTTCAGCCTTTCCTGGTCCGCAGATGTAAAAGGAGGAGGACAGAAAGCCTGCAGCACAATAGGCCTCGGAGTCAAGGTCGGCACCTTAGGGACGTATCCCTGTTTTGGATATAAGAATGCCTTGACCATCCCCGGTGCAAACTCAAGGCAAGTGGGGGAAACCGAAAGGGCCTGAAGGTCTCCAACTCTCTTAAGGGACGAAATAGCTAGCAGAAAGATAGTCTTAAAGGTAAGAAACTTCTCTGAAACCGAATCTAAGGGCTCGAATGGAGCCCTAGACAGGCCTTCTAGTACTAAAGCAAGATCCCAAGCTGGCACCCTAGTGCGAGTTGCAGGCCTTAGCCTCAAAGTGCCACGAAGGAAACGTGTAATCAGGGGGTCTCGACCCAACGATGTACCCCCCACCAGGGCGTGGTAAGCCGCAATGGCCGCCACGTAGACCTTGAGCGTGGAAGGACATAGACCTGACGTAAAGCGCTCCTGCAGGAACTCGAGTACTGTGTTCACAGAACAGTTAACTGGATCCCACTGATGTCGGTGACACCATACAGAAAAAACTCTCCATTTAAGCGCATATAGTTTCCTAGTAGCTGGAGCTCTGGAGCTTAGAATGGTCTTAGCAGCCTCAGCTGAGAGACCACTCTCTATGAGTTGGGCCCCCTCAGAGGCCAAACCCACAGGTTCCAAATTTCTGGTCGAGGGTGAAATATTGTGCCCCCGGCCTGAGACAGAAGGTCTCTCCTGATCGGGATCTCCAAGGGAGGACCGTCTAAGAGATGGATCAGGTCCGCAAACCAGATCCGACTCGGCCAGCGTGGTGCTACTAGCAGTAGGCTTATTCCGTACTGGCGGACTCGTTCCAGAACTCCTGGGAGCAGAGCAACAGGGGGAAATGCGTACAGACGTAGCCTCGGCCACGTCTGCACCATAGCATCCAGCCCCAGGGGGGCTGGGTGAGTAAGGGAGAACCAAAGTGGACAGTGCGTCGTATGCTGAGACGCAAACAGATCCACCTCTGCTTGGCCGTAAAACTCCCAAATTTTCTCCACCGCCTCGGGGTGGAGTCTCCAGTCCCCTGGCCTCAGCTCCTGCCTCGACAGGATGTCTGCCCCAATATTCTGGTCCCCAGGAATATACACTGCCCTCAGGGAGAGTACCTTCCCCAGAGACCACAGGAGGATCTGGTGCGCCAGCTTGCAAAGCGGACGCGACCGCAGACCCCCCTGACGGTTCAGATAAGAGACCACCGATGTGTTGTCTGTACGGACGAGCACATGATGGCCCCTCAGGTCTGGGAGGAATTGCTTCAACGCATTGAAGACGGCCATCATCTCCAGGCAATTTATGTGCCAAGAAAGATGATGACTCCTCCACCGACCCTGAACCGAGCGGCCTTCCATTACCGCTCCCCAGCCGGTGAGGGAAGCATCTGTCGAGATCGTAACTCGATGGCAGAGAGCTCCCAACACCGGACCCTGGGTTAAGAACCAGTGTTTTCTCCATATAACCAAGGCACGAAGGCATCGCCGCGTGATCTTGATCATACGAAGTGGGTTTCCCCTCGGGGAGAACCCTCTGGTCCTGAGCCACCACTGCAAAGGTCTCATGTACAGCAGGCCAAAAGGAATCACGTTGGACGCTGCCGCCAAAAGACCCAACAGTCTCTCGAACTGTTTTACAGTGCGTGACTGGCCTAGCTTTAGCTCTTTGGTGGCTGTCAGGATAGCAGCTACACGAACGGGCGATAGAGTGGCCCGCATCGTCACTGAATCCCATACCACACCAAGGAAAGTGGTTCTCTGTACTGGAGAAAGCACACTTTTCTTGGCATTGAGCCTCAACCCCAACATCTGCATATGAGCGAGAACGACACCTCGGTGCCGAACCGCCAACTGCTCTGATTCCGCTAGAATCAGCCAGTCGTCGATGTAGTTCAGAATACGTATGCCTGAAGCCTGAGAGGGGCTAGAGCTGCATCCACGCATTTCGTGAACGTGCGGGGTGATAAAGCTAGACCGAAAGGAAGAACCCGATATTGGTATTCTTTGCCCCCGAAAGAAAACCTTAGGAACTTCCTGTGCTGAGGGAGGATGGAGACATGGAAGTAAGCGTCCTTCAGATCTATCGTGACAAACCAGTCCTCGGATCTGATTTGAGTCACGATCTGCTTGAGTGTCAGCATCTTGAACTTGAGTTTCTGTACTGAACGATTTAACAGACGAAGATCTAAAATGGGACGCAACCCTCCATCCTTTTTTGGAACAATGAAATAACGGCTGTAAAAACCCGACTCTCTGTCGGGTGAGTACACCTGTTCTATAGCTTCCTTTGCTAACAGGGCCTTTACCTCTTGCTCCATTACCAGAGCCTGCTCGGGATGCACCACTGTGGGCAGCACCCCGTTGTAACGAGGAGGACGAGAACCAAACTGGATTCTGTATCCTTTCTCTACAATCTGCAGGACCCAACGAGAAATATTCGGCAGAAGCTTCCACTCTGCCAGAAAATTTACTAAGGGAACCAGCCTCTCGAGGCTGGTCTCTGGTGTTATCGAGACGGCTAATTCCGGAGCCTGAAACATAATGGCAGGAACTACCTGAACTGGCCGCTCTAAGGCCCCCCTCAGAGGGCGCGAAACCGATGCTGTGCCGCAGCATAGCATCAGCGACTCGCTGGAGACCGCTGCGCCCTGAAGCACCGAGGGTGGCAGGGTTGGCAGAACGGTCTCGTGAGGACCCCGAAATGGAACGGGCACCGTATAATGAGGTGTACACCGCTCCACTTCGGTCGGGGCTGTCCTCACAGGCCTGATGCATGAACATCAGGACCTTTTTTTTTTTGAACCGAAGTCTTCTTCGCCTGAAGAACGGTCCTCAGATCCGGCTTCGACTTAGAAGACTTCGGTTGAGAGGGTTGCGTCCGTCTCCAGTCTCTACGTGGAGGTGCACGAGACGCAACACTCTCTTTCTGATGCACACGATATGATGAGCTCGACGGCTGGGGCTGCTCACGCCCAGCAGCCCCAGGGGGCTGGACCCGGCGAGGGATAAACTTTTTAAAAACGTCAGCTTGTTTCTTTGACTCCTGAAATCTCTCGACGATCGCGTGGACTGCGTCGCCGAACAGACCAGAAGGTTCAAGCGGAGCATCTAATAAAAAAGCTCGATCTTTTTCTTTAATTTCAGACAGATTTAACCATAAATGTCTCTCAGTAGCTACCAAGGCTGCCATAGACCGCCCAATTGCTCTGGCGGTCTCCTTAGTAGCCCTGAGAGAAAGATCGGTAGCCCGACGAAGTTCACGAATATCGTCATGACTGACTCCCTCACTACTATCCAGATCCCCCAGCAGGTCAGCTTGATAAGCCTGGAGCACTGCCATAGTATGCAGACATGCTCCAGCTTGACCTGCTGCCGTATAAGCTTTGCCCACTAACACCGAAGTGGCTTTGAGCGGTCTAGTGGGCAAAGCCGAGGCTTTCAGAGACGATGCGGGACCAGGGGAAAGATAACTGGCTAAATTCTCTTCCGCCTGGGGCATCGCCTCATAACCATACTCTTTCAGCCCTCTTATTCTCGAATAAGTGTTAACTTGAGGGCTGAAAAGACGTGATGAGTAAGGTTTATTCCACGATTTAGATATTTCATTGTGCAAATCGGGAAAAAATGGAAGCCCTCGTGGTGGAGATAATGTGGTGGAAGATAAAAAGCGCTCATCTAATTTGCTTTTAGGACGAGCGCCCTTCTTCTCAGATGGCCATTCAATATTTAATTTCTCTACAGCCCGCGACATAACATCCACCAGCTCATCATATGCTGGGGAAATAAATTGTGAATCTCTTTCCCCCATGTGTGTGCTTTCACTCTCCAAACTCATCGCATCAACCTCCTCGGAGGAAGAGCAATAAAGTAATGGAGGGCTCTCTCCCCGGGCGGAAGAAACCGCAGAGCGTGCTTCCGACACCGGGGGGAGAGCGTTGGATCTCTCGGGTAAGGAAGGAGAAAGAACCCTCGGACCCGTCTCCAACCCCTCCGAAAGTTCCTTTTGCGATCCCCAGGAATGCATTCTCCGCGCTGCCTCAGCAGACGCGGGTCCTGATCCCTGCGGATCGCGAGCCTGCCCACTCTCTTTATCAAAGAGTTACAGGCGAGAGCGGAGCATGCGAAGCGGTAACATCTCACAATGCTGGCACTCAGCCCCCTCGAAGGCTGAGACCGCATGCTCCACTCCCAAACAAACGACACAAAGCTCGTGTGTGTCCCCACCCGTTAAATAACGCGGGCAGGGAGAAGCACACTGTTTGTACACTTGTTTAGTTTCCATCCTTTTCCGCAACAGACAACAGTAAATAGACAGAGACAAAATGACACAGATCGCTTGCTGAGACACAGAAGCTAATGCCGCGTTTCACCGGGTGAGCCTTTATCCCTTCCTGGTCATGACGTCACCCGCCCGTGACGCTCATTCTTTCCATTGGACTAGTTGACATTGATGCTCAGACGCATGCACGCTGGGGGCGTTCCCAAAGCGTCAAGTGACGCATCGAGAGTTCCCTCGAAAGGGAACTGAAGCTTCCCAAACAAGAAGAGAACAAAAGGAGCGCCACGTTTGGCTGTTTGCAGATGAGATGTTATACTGCAAATAATCAGTCAAGTAAGTATATCTTGATGCTTTCTTTATTTAATTTTTTTTCACCGCAGTTGATTTTGCGATTAAGAGTGCTTTTTAATCGCAGACAGTAACGTTATACGCAATAGATTCGGGAGGTAAATTAATCATGTTTCCAATAATTTATCTATGATTGCATTCAAATAATGTCTTATATCGTAATGTGCTCGGGTGTGTGGGCGTGTTCGAGGAATTTGTCTACTGAAATGTGTTTTTTTTAAATATATTTATTCATTTATTTATTTTTACTAAACCGACTTTTTAAATAATTTTAAACAAACTAAATGAGTATGACTTAAAGTTAAATTTGCATGCTGAATGCTGATCCAATATTGTAACTCTCGAAGACATTTATATATTAATCAATCTTAACCACCATACATATTTAATATATCACCCACCTCTAGAAATAATGCTTGTAACGTTAATGTATTTAATTTCGTTTTACATTTGAAGAGTGAGTTGTTCAGTTACTATTTGTTTTGGAATATGTAATATGTTTGTGCTTATCTGGATTAAACATTCATTTTGCAGGATCAGTTCACATTTGTTATTGGAGATACAGGACAAGCGGTGTGGAATCACAGACCTGTATTGATGAGGTGATGTTACAAGATTTATTATGAATTTTTGCCCAGCCAGCACACCTCTATCAAGCTAAAACACTGCTATCAAGTCCCTAACTATCCCTATAGCTTTTAATGCTTTGAATCTTTTCCATTTGCAAGTAATACATTCCCACCTGTGCATTTACATATGCCCCTATAATCATCATATATTTTACAGGTAACAAACCAAATGAAGAAGGCTGCCGCATTACTGTGTCAACCGTGGTAAATACAGGAACATCCTTCATGAAGATACTAAGATGCAAGCTTAAAATTCAAGATTACCTTTCTCAATTTGCATGGGTCTTGGGTTTGCATGGGTCATTAACCTATATTTGTGTAATTGATAAAGTTATGTTTAATTCCTTTTAAAGTAGCAAAATAAATGTTCTCTATTTTTAATGACTTTAAGCCCAGTGTCAGTGAAGATGGCGTGGTCAGTGCAATCCTGGTGTTTGTGGGAAATAGAGGAACCTTGCCCAGCTTTTTACTATGGTGGGACCCTGATGAGGTAATTCATCACATCACACATTCATCAACAGTTAGCAGTCAAAAGTTTACGTACACCTTGCAGAATAAACTGCTTCATCAGGGTAGTTCTAAATAAAAAGACAACATATACATTTTTGTGTTCCCTCTTATTGCTAAAATAAAGACTAAAATACTGCAAGGTGTATATAAACTTTAACGGGAAAATATCTATCACTTTCATTCATTTGAGCCAAATATAATAATGGACTGGATATGTTTTATAAACAAATGTTTTCCTTCACTTTTTTTCCCTCAAGGTATTTTTTCTGACTTTCCTGCCTCTTTGGAACAAATCCATTCACATTTACTTTGGAGAGCACCGGGACATTGACATAAACAGCACTTTCCAACTACTTCAAAACATTTGGTGACAAATGATTTTGGTTTTCTTGTTTTTGTGCCTTTAGATTTCTTCAGTTTTAGTTTTTTTGTTTTTAGACAAACTTGAAAAGGTTTAAGAGCTAAAATTAACAAGGTTTGGTAACACTTTAATTAGGTCTCATTTGTTAATATTAGTTTATGTATTAGCCAACATGATCTAAAAATGTGCATATTTTTACAGTATTTATGAATCTTTGTTAATATTAGTTAATTAAAATATAGTTTGTTAAAGTTAGTTAATACAATTTATAGTCATTGTTCATGCGAGTTCACAGTGCATTATAATTTTAATACACAACTTTTGAATATAATAATGCATTATTAAATGTTTAAATTAACATTAACTAAGACTAATAAATGCTTAAAGTATTATTCATTCTTAGTTCATGTTAACTGAAGGAGTTAACTAATAATACCTTGTTGTAAAGCATTACCCGTTTGAATCTTAGTGTTCACATTTTGCAGTAGAACGTCACATCACATTTTGTTTGTATTAATTCATGGGTTGTGTGTTTGATGTACTGTGTGTTTGCTTCTAAAATGATGTTTGTACTGGTAATCCCTAGGTTATGGGGACCAAATTACCCCAAAAGTATAGTAATACCAGTAAATTACATGGAAATAATCTTATAAATCATACAGAATGATGTTTTCTGAAAATGTAAAAACACAATAATGTTTTCTGTGATGATAGGTTTAGGTTTAGGTACCTTTGTATGAGGGAGAACATGATTGTGCATATAAGCATCATTGCCCTCCAGACTCTTTCTAAATGAGAGTTAAAGGGATAGTTCACTTTAAAATGAAAATTCTGTCATCATATACTCACCCTCAACTTACACTTAAGTGATCTTATGAATCACTGACAACTCTTAAATAACTGGTTTGTAAATAATGCTATACTTAATTTAGAAATTATTAATTGATCATTAACAAAGTATGAAAATATAATTATTAAACACATTATAGATATGCTTATAAATCAAGAAAAAGCATTTATAGCTGTATTTATAAACTTATTATTAATGTCTATTAATGCTTTATAAATTATGAATTAACTGTTAACTCATGCTTAACTAATGATTAATAGTGTGGAGTTATTATAAAGTGTTACCTTTCTTTCTTCTGCTGAACACAACGAAGATATTTTGAAGAATGTCAGTAACCAAACAATTAACTGGTCCCATTGACTTCAATAGTAGGAAACATAATACCATGGAAGTCAATGGGACCAGTTAACTATTTGGTTACTGACATTTTTCAAAACATCTTCGTTGTGTTCAGCAGAAGAAAGATTCATACAGGTTTGAAACAACTTGAGGGTGAGTATATAATGACAGAATGTGTCATATGTGTCAAAGTGAACTATCCCTTTAAAGTGTTGTAACTGTTTATGTATAGTGTTTCTTGGGTTTTTTCTTGTGCACCAACAGAAAGGTTTTTATGTATTTATTTTAGAGATTGTTTTGTCAGTAAATGTAGAGGGTTTTAAATTGAATTTGTGTTGATTGTAGCTAGGTTAAGACTTTTTTTTTTTGTCCAAATTTGAAAATATTTGCAACTATTTTTTTTTTAATTACAAATGTATTTAATTATATAATAGTGTACATGTATATTACATTAAAGTATATTTTAGTTCACATTAATTGCTTGTCAGTATATTTGGAAGTACACTTTTACCATATTTCAAAGTTCATATACAAATGTATTAAAATCCCACTTAATTTGTTCCAAAAAATCACTCTTAATATCAACTAATAGCATTTAATTTGAGCTTAATCTGTGATACATTTGAAATCAATTACATATAATATGCAATAAGTTTGTCGAAAACATTACACTTAATTCACATTTATTGTTAACTGACATTAAAGTACATTTTAGTTTACATTAATTGCTTGTCAGTGCATTGTGTAGTGTACTTTAAATACATTTTAAATAGACTAGAAGCAATTATGAAAGTAAATATAAAGTTGTATTAAAGTCCCACTTAAGTGGTACCAAAAAATCACTCTTAATGACAACTTATTGCATTTTATTTGAACTTAATATGTGATATATTTGAAATCAATTACACTTAATGTGCATTCAATGCGGCGAAAACATTGCATTTATTTCACACTTAAGTGTATTGTTAACTGACATTATAGTATATTTTAAATCACATTAATTGCGTGTCATTATATTGTGTAGTGCACTTTAAATATATTTTAAATACACTCGAAGCAATTATTAAAGTAAATATAAAGTTGTATTAAAGTACCAATTAAGTTGTACCAAAAAATCACTCTTAATGACAACTTATTGCATTTTATTTGAACTTAATATATGATATATTTTAAATTAATTATACTTAATGTGCATTCAGTGTGGCCAAAAAATTGCATTTAAATTCACACTTAAGTGTATACCTTTAAAGTATATTATTTGTGTAATAAGTACACTTTATAAAAGTACACTAAAGTGCACTTTTTTTTCACAAGGGTGGGCATTTCTGTTATTTATGCCTAAAGTCAAATGTCTGGCTACGTGACTCTAGACCTTCACTGTCAGCCAGATGGTAATGTCAGTCCACGGCAGATCATGCCATTTCCTCAGCTGGCACGTTTATGTGTGTGTTTGTCATCCTAGAACTGTCTGAGGCTTTTCAAACACACGCGTTCACATAGAAGACCTGATTATTGTGGAGTTGAGTGGCACCAGAACAGGACCATGACCTGATTGTTTTCTGAAAGAAATAAGAGACAGATATGGTGTGGAGGAGGCTGGCGGCAGGATTGAGAATGAGACAGAAAGTTATGAAAAATAGAGAGGAAAACAAAGGAAGGAAGGACAAATGCACTTATAGGAGATAAATAATCCTACAAGGAAAGTAAAATCTGAATGCATCTGCACCACAAGGAAAATGAATAAACATGATATATCCCTAAATGAAAACTTCAATCAGAATTAGGGGACTGAAAAGTATAAAAACAGTAGAAGTCACCATGACAGAAAATCAAACTTGTGTTTACGTCTGTCAGAACTTAGTGAATGAACCAAGACCAGAAGGGAGTGCAACTCCATCTAGCTCAATATCCGATTCGTTTTTCCATGACATAGACCAGAGCAAAATCTGATAATACAATTTCTCAAGTCTTTCTTCTGGCGAAGGCTGAAGTTAACAGAAGGACAGCATCAATGCAGAACTCATAATACCACACTGCATGGCAGAGATGGGTTTGATCCTAACATCCAATCTCAGCAGGCCACTCTTTACTCTTTATACTCTTTACACTCTTTACACAGGATTATCCAGCAAGCCTAAAAGGCAACTGCACCAGCTAAGAACCAGCGACTATCGCATGAATAATGGAAATAGCTAGACTAGTCTGTTATCAGTGAGGAAAGCCCTGTAAGATAGCAGCTGGTGTGTACCTGCCTGTACCGTCTCGGGTAACAGCTTATTCTTAGCATTCATAATTCAAAATCAACAACACAAATGGGTAACCCTTTAATTTTGATGATCCCTTTCGAACATTCTGTTGACTATAAGTAACTTTGCAACTACATGTCAACTAACTCTCATTAGGAACCATCAAAATAAAGTGAAACCCACAAATGTTTGTTTTGCATTTGTAACAATTTCAACCTATGAATCACTCACACTTCAAATGTTTACAAGGAAATGTTTTCTTCGTTTGGTCTTTATCCGATCTTTTATCCCGTGTTACATTCATTTTTTTGCATGACAGGTTGAGTTATTTTATCACTCAGCCCTAAATGTTTCTTATGATTCATTCAAACAGTTCTTAAACAAATACTATATAGATAATTTCAAGACCATCGCTATTGGAAAATAATGAATAAACCTTCATTTTTCTCATAGACAGCAATGATATTGAATGGAGTGAAAATTGAACGTCTCCTGCTTCTTGTATTTTTCTCTCCAGAAAAAAATGTGTCACAACAATGTCTAAGTTTAAATACATTTCATTCATACAGTTCTCATCAGTTGCTCCAAGATCTAGCTCTGCTCTCTACATTAATTTATACCCTTGTTTGTCAACAGCTGACTCATTTTGTTCTATTTATTCAGGCTC